AGAAGTCGACGTAACTCCTGCTACGTTCATAAAGGAAACACACAGCAGGGGGTGGCCAACCCAGAACCCCATACGGCTGCGGCACCTCCCACCACACCAGCCCATATACCCAGGGGGGGACCGAGAAATCCTGGGCCCCCCCGCTCGGGCTGCCTCTTTTACTCTGAAGAAATATTAGTCCCTGACAGAATTTGCTGGGAAGGCAGAGGGGTCCCCCATGGGACAGAATAGAGGTATAATGTTTCCTGTGTATAATTCTAATTTGCAACATCAGCTGCAAAGACAGACTGATCCACTGGAGGTTCCCACACTGCCTCCTGGCAACAAGGCATTTCCATGTATTAAGGAGGTTCCTCAAGGTGTTTCTTCTGCCACTCAGCAATATCAGCAATATACTGCTGCACACAACCTGAGCAAGGTCCCACCTCCCCCTTCTGAAACATCAGGAATTTAGCCAAAACATCTTAAGGGCCATCTGATCTCTCCATGGCCTCTCCATGCCCAAGCGCGCTCCTCCGTCCCTGCCTTCACTGCAGCCGTTCTGGCCTGTCCGTATCTTTCAGCTGCCTCAGGAGACCCCACTGCCCTGAAGGCCTCATTTTCCTGCTTGACAGCTTCCCTCAGCACAGGTGTCTGCCAGCAGGTCCTAAGGTTACTGCCCTGACAGACACTGGCTGCCTTCAGGCCACAGCTCCTTGCAGCCAAAACAAACGAGGCCCTGAATTTAGTCTATTCTGACTCAAAGTCCCTGACCTCCATTCAGCACTTGAGATTTTTTTTGAGCTGTGATCTGAACTGACCATTACCCCTACAGGAACTTCTATGACATCCCATTCTAAATCCATAGGCATGAATATGAAGTCGTCCCCCCTATAACAGCTATCACTCTTCTGGGAAGGCTTTCCACAAGATTTTGGAGTGTGTTTGAATTTTGCCCATTCATCCAGAAGAGCATTTGTGAGGTCAGGCACTGATGTTGGATGTGAAGGCCTGACTCACAATCTCTATTCTAGTTCATCCAAAAGGTGTTTGATGGAATTGAGGTCGAGGATCTGTGCAGGCCAGTCAAATGCTTCCACAGCAAACTCACCCAACCATGTCTTTATGGACCTTGCATTGTACACTGAGGTACAGTCTTACTGGAACAGAACAGGGCCTTCCCCAGACTGTTCCCACAAAGTTGGAAGTATAGAATTGTCCAAAATGTCTTGGCATGCTGAAGCTAGGGGAACTAGGGGGCTTAGACTAACCCTTGAAAAACAACCACATACCATTATCCCTCTTCCATTAATCTTTACAGTTGGCACAATGCAGTCAGACATGTAATATTTTCCAAACCCATACTCCTCTATTAGACTGTCAGTCAGGGAAGCATGATTTGTCACTCCACAGAACATGTTTCTGCTGCTCCAGAGTTCAGTGGTGACATGCTTTACCCTATTCCGTCCGACGCTTGGCATTGCGCTTGGTGATGTGAGGCTTGCATGCAGTTGCTCGGCCATGGAAGCCCATTCCATGAAGCTCCCAGTGGTTAATGCCAGAGGAAGATCAGAGCTGTGCAGTCACTGAGTCCACAGAGGGCTGCCGACTGTTACGCACTATGCGCCTCAACACTTACCAACCTCTGCTACTTTACGTGGTCTGCTGCTTCATGGATGAGAGTCTGTCATTCCTAAATGCTTCCACTCTGCAATAATACCACCGGTGGTTGACCATGGAATATCTAGCAGGGAACAAATTTCACAAACTGATGTATTGCAAAGGTAGCATCCTATGACAGAGCTATTCACAATGACCCATACATGTTCGTAAACCTGACTGCATAGCTAGCTGCTCGGTTTTATTCACCTGAATTCAGTGATTAGGAGGCACGTCCCAGTACTTTCATCCATATATGTTATTTCCATCAGTAAGACCAGTGCAGGAAGCACCTCATCCACTTTCTCCTAGAAGGCGGGGAACCCTGGACTGCTGTTCCACACAGGTCACACTTCTCCTCTCTACAATGCGTAGCCATGTATTGGAAGCCCGCTTATCAAATGGCAAAAACACCAGCTGCATAGACCTCAGTCTGGGGTTAATAAATATCCTCACACACATCCCCCCCCCCACCGAAGCCTTTCATCATGGGGAACTCCAAAACAGGAGAGCCTCAGCCCCCAATCGTGAGTTTGGTGCCAGGATCCACACTACGCATGGTGGTGCATATCTTTCCATCTCCCGCCAGAGCTCAGGTTCCTTCTCCACCAGAGGGGTAAGATTCCACATTTCCAAAGTCAGTGTCTACTGCCAAGGTCTGATTCATCTGCATCTTTCACATTTATGCCTACTGTACAAATAGCACTACAGCTGACTGCCATCTTTCTCCTTGTACATGAGACTACAAGATGGCTTCATGTAACTGTTTAGGATTTACAGTTAAACCCTTTTTTGTGCTTGTTCCGTTTCATTTGAAAGTTCTGCCACCATATTTTAAATATCCTGCTAAAAACTGTGCCAGAATCACCTACAATGATCATATAAATCTTAGTGAAAATTGATACAATAATCAATAAGGGACCAGAGATTATTTTAGGCTACTCTTTCATTCATTTGTTCCCCACAAATTACTTTGTTTGACAATAATGGCTCCTCAGCACTGTCATCCAGCCGATTGTGTGCTGGAGCTGATCTCTCTGCTCTCAGAAGCAAACAGCTGGCTGAGATGTCCTACGCTTTGGGACAGTGTGGGCTGTTATCACAGGCTGCATGAGTGCTGTGGAACTGTCCCAGAATCGCTCCATTGTAACACTGTAGAGATCCCAGAATGGATTTGGAAATCTTACTGGGGGCAAACATTGTTGATGGCTCACACTGGAATGTAGCCTCTCATCCACTGACAAGGTGCATAAATTGTCCCGAAGCCCTGAGCATCAATCAGGGCATGCCACACATGTGATGACAACAGTGTGATTTGGGAAGAATTCTGATTGATGTGCACAGGGTGTAATGATTTTCACTGAAAGCTTATTTACAGTAATACAGTCATTATTGCCCTGCATACTGCCTTGACAAAACTGGGCTGAAAAGTGTTAACCCTTGGCTGGGGTGAGAGTTTTGACTGTCTACAGGAGCCCCAGTCACCACCAGTAAAAGGGTGAGCTGATAAAGAGTTTAAGCTCATTTCAGCATTTTCTTTGGGCAATGGCTGATGAGAGATGTGATGAGGAAGCCAACCTGTTTGCATCCACTGTCTACCCAGCACACAGAGATAAGCACGCACAGTTGCAGTCACATGGTGTAAGTTGGCCACTAAGTGAAGACACGTGGGTGAATTCTCATCCTCTGGCGACGAAAAATCGTTTGGTCCTATGAATTTAAATTTGCTCCTTTGATTAAAGCAGTGCTCGAAAACAATAGAAAAAAACACACCAAAACAACCAATGTTCAATACCATAGAATATTCTCCGGGCGGATACTAATTCAATGCAAATTCCACTCTACAATTCTCATCCATCAATCAACGAAACATGAGGTAAAAACCTTACCTTAATCATAATACAGGCCTATAAGTACTGCTTTCAAGCCAATGCCAGCGTAAGTCTGGCTGCTTTGGATATTTCGAATAAACACCGATGAAAATTTTATTTCAGCCCTTCTGTTCCCAAGTTTGGAAATAGACTAAACGATCGTGTGAGCGAATATGGCCAAACGGTTGAATGAAAACTTAATATCAAAATGAAACAGTTTGCGCACATTCATTCATACCAAACCAGCAAAAGTTTAGATACCTTATAATGCTTTTAAAAAGTGTTTTATATTTAACGAACGTGATCTTAATAAAGAAGCTAAATTCAAATTATTCTGAGAAGAATGCATGCCAACCCAAGAGCGTCATTGTCAGAAACAGCTCTCGCTTCCAGCAAAATAATACATAGCGTCTCTGATCTTTATATTGAATGATACAGACGTTCTGTAAAAATCATTTTCAGATGAGTGGAGATCATATATGTATTGCTGTTAGTTTAGATAGCTTCTTTTTTGATGCTGTAATTAAATTTGGAACAGTAATTAGTTGCAACTGGCTTATTTAGGCTTAACTGCATGCATATCAACACGCGGCGTTCTAAATAAATTGATTGTCTATAATAATACAAGTATGGGAAGCACTACTTGGATATAACGGGTGCCGAAAATTAGTCATGGATTGATTCATAAATGTACTTTTAAAATATGTGCATATCAAGCTTTTGAGGGAAATTCAAGAACGTAAATTACAATAAGAAAGGGACTATAGGCTGCAGGCTGTTTGCAGATACAGCAGATTTTAAGCTAGACTTTGCGGGCCATTTAACGCGCCATTAAAATTAACTGCCAAACTCCTAAGACTTAACCGTAAGCAAAGCAAGTAACGTGTCTTTCTGTGTGTGTATTTAATGTAAACGTGTGATTTACGCATTATGGAAAATAAAACTTTTTCTCGGCTTCGGTGCACGCAATCGCAATAATGCCTCCAATGTTTAGTTTCTTTAGATTTACAGTGATACTATATTAAATAGATTGATGTAACACTGACACGTCATACCATCGTAAATTCCTATAACAACCCTGGGTATTTGAGGTTTGCTGCTGTAAAAATTTTACAACTAGTCAAAGTATTTTTCTAGTGCAAATTGGTATAACTGAAACGTAATGTTTCTTAACGGAACGTTTGGTCGCCCATAATAGAACACAGTATTAATAAATTTTAGAAGTTATAAAAATTTCTTGAGTGGATTTTTACAGCACAATTTTAAATTCTGCAAATAAGATGATACTTTAAAATACTGTTGTGTTTGGCGTGTGTTTTTAACTAAGTAGGCCTATTTCGTTAACAACAGACCGACTACTACTTAAAATTATATTCTTAAACAATTTGCACAGTCAATCCTTATGCACCCGATAGAAATGAAAACAGCTGGTCAGGGCATTAACTAAAAGATTAAATGTAGACTACTAAAACAAGAAGATCGCGACAAATATTACTGTGTAGACACGTACTTTTAATATGTAGTTTTAAACAGGACTGATGAGCCTATATACTGTTTCAAAGTTTTGAAAGCTGTGAAATTTTATTGTAAAAATATTAATACAAAACTATACGATCGTGGTTTTGTATCTCTACCCTTTCCAGATGTAACGATTTTAATTCAAACTTACCTCATATCGTTTTCATTAATAAACAATGTCATAAATAAAATTACAAGAGAATTTTTCTAGCCAACAAGTTAATTTGCACTTTCGAATTGACAGGAATGATTCTATGTGATTTAATAATCCATTTGTTGCATATTGATAGCTGTAAGTGTGTCTGAGAAAAAATCTAAGCTGTCCTTGGATATGTCCACAGAGCCATCCAGAGATTTTGACAAACTGGGGGACATGGAATTTGAAAGGTGTAGACATGGATCTGGCGAGAAAATTTGCAAGTCCTGAAAAGGAGAGAGATCCAGGGCCGGGGGGCTGCAGTTGTCCATGTCGGACGAGCTCCCTGATCCCATGGTCGAGATACAGACTTGGCCGGAGGGTGATTGGTTCGAGAAATGTTTCAGATTTTCGTCACTGCTGTTTATAGGCGAGTGGATAAAGTTCTGGTAATCTCCAGGGTGCATATCTTGGGGAACATCAGGAGAATCGTTGTTTTCATCAAACAAGTAGTCCTCACTTTCCAAAAGAGCCCCGGACACATTGTTTATGGTCTGTTCCAGTACTGACTTCTCAGTGTTTCCTGCCTCTTCTACACGAATGAGTCTCCCATCCAGATTATGGTTCTCCTTGCATTGCGTCTGCCGCTTGTGTTTCATCCTCCTATTCTGAAACCAGACTTTAACCTGCCTTTCAGTTAAATCCAAAGACGCTGCGATCTCTACCCTCCTGGGTCTGCATAAATACTTGTTGAAATGAAATTCTTTCTCCAGCTCCAGAAGTTGCGTGTTGGTGTATGCGGTCCTCAATCTGCGAGATGCCGCGCTGCTATTCTCGGCAATATCGTTTGCATCTAAAGAACAAACAAATATTTCCGTGACACATTACTATTGGTATAAAAAAATATATTATGCTAGCTCAATGTACGCTACAATGTACTGCCATGGGGAAATGGCACCGATTGCAATTGCAGGGTAAATTCCGGCAGGAGTTAAAATAGTATTGTTTAGCTAGATTCTAAAACCGATACAGACGCTGACCAGCCTGGACACAGAGTTAATGAATCAGCCAGCGGCAGCTTCACTGATAGAAATTTATGACTCTAGATTACCGTCACATGCCAAACCTCTGGAACTATACTACCAGGAAATACTGTACAGAAGATAACATGATTTTCTTATTGTGTTCTTATTATTTGTCATAAAATGGTGAACAGCCATTTAATTGTAACAGTTGCACGAGCATTCTAAACATATAGTGTCAGTCATAGAATTCACTGTATACAACGCTTCTCCTACCTTTTAGAGAAAAGCAAACCGGTCCGGACTCGACGGCCGCTGCAGCAGAGACGGAAATGGGATTTTTCTTGGTGGTTTTTTTCTCTTTCATCCATGGATACTCCGGGGGAAGGGATGCGGCCGGCAAGGGGCTGCAGCCATTGAGGCTGTGTTTGGGCCGGTCGTGGCCGGGATGACTGCCGGCGTTTAAGCTGGGAATGGTCTGCTCAAAAGGAGGAGGAATGAGCGTGGAGAGTGAAAGCGTCGAGCTCTTGATTGATGAACTCTGAAATGAATCACTGACAGGGGGGAAAGACGTCAGGCACTCAGCAAGCGACGGTTGACTGTTGATAAAACCGCTCTCCTGCTCAAATTCGTAATTCATCTCCTCACCGTTACAGATTTTTAAAGTCCCCAATTACCTTAAATTTATTGCAGAAATAGAAATATTTAAAACCTCATTTATCCAATTCGATGTTTACAGCTGAATTGGGATGGTGCTGCTGTTAAACTATTGCATTGATGGAGACAAGGTTGAAATTAGACCGAAATGCTCGTCACATGATTACCTCTGCCCAATGACAATTTGGGGTTTAATCAAAAGAGGCCACCGTCTGTTTGATCGATCCAAAAAGTCCGTATGAAACGCCTAATTCCAACGGGAGAGTTTTATTTACACTCTCTATTTGTTTATTTCTGCATTCTGCATAATATTTTGATATCACTCTGTGTGCAGCAGCTCCGCGCTTCTTGTATTGTCCGTGAACATCAGAATGCTCTCCGCACCTCACAAATCATGGCAGCACCTACGTTTGACGCCGGCAGTCATTAACGGAGTAAGCCATTAATCTTAAATGTTCTGACAGAAAATCCGAACAATCCAAGCCTTCTGGGGAGGGAAGGAATCCACCCTGCCTCCCCCATCCCCATCCCCACCCCCCACTGGGACATAAAAGCCACCTACACATGAACATGTATACACGGAGCAGACTCTCTGTATTAGTCGGTTTCATATTTTCAATAATGCTAAAATAGACACAAAGAATTTCTAGTTCTATCACGATCTATATATATTTGTTTTTTGCGTCGTACAATATTTTATAGGATTCCATATTAATAACGGAAAACAATGCAGATAATTACGCTCAGATATAGGCCTAAATATTTGTTTATTTAATAACAACCCCGAGGACTAAGCTTGACTGATCTTTGGACCCGGGCATCACCCCTGATCATATGGGGAATTACAGATGATTGGTAAACATATAACCTATTATGATTTAATATTAAAATATAATGAATGATTGAATTGTTTCTCATAAGATTTTCACTTTTAAAACTGCGACAATTCTAAAATATATAAAACTAAGAAAGTTTAGTAGGCCGCTCTTCTTTTATTGCCTGTGTTGCAGACAAAGAGGAGTGTGAGGCTAGCTATCAATCTTGCTAGCCAAAAGGTCTGACAGCTTAGTGCCCCGAGACCGCATTTAAACATTCGCTGTCTTTAACGTGAAGCAGCCGGGCAAAGCTGAAGAGGGCTACATTTAACTGAATGCAGGCTTCATACTTAAAATATAAATGTTTTAATGCTTTAATGTGTAATTTGTTCTGGCTATGTGCATTCGGTGAGTTACAAACGTTTATTTAAAACTCATTAACGTTTCCTACTTGGTATAGCGCCTGCCTTTAGCGCAGATTCAATTGTTTTTTAAAATAGGAATGGTTTTGCAGTTAGATACTACCTCTGTGTGCGGGAAACGAGTGGGTGTCGGCATTATGCAAAAATTCAGCTCACTCCAACGCATTTTCTATCTTAGAACAAAATTGTGTCTTTCCCCCAAGTGTTAGAATAACGACAGGAAATCAATTTATTCCGTAGAATGGGTTCGTTTATTTTAGTGTGTCACATAACATCAACGTATTTCAATAACAGACAAAAGCAACGTGTATCCGCTTGACTTTCCTGTTCCTGCTACAATTAAATCAGAGAAGAAATGCTTTCGCGAAAAAGCTGTCAGAAAAACAGGCAGAAAACGTAAGTATATTTAAACTAAATACAAAATTGTTTATTTATCAAAATTATACATCAGGGTAAGATAAAATACAAACAATAGGTATTTTAGTAGCCCATGAACTCTATTTGTAAAACAGTCGCTGTAGATATGGAAAAGAACCTTACATCAACTAATCAACTTTAATATAAGCTAATATTAGCCTACTTTACTGCACTAATTTTCCGAATAAAATAAGTATTATGGGGCTATTTATTACCTATAAATATATTTGGACACTATAAGTATAAATAATCCATATTTTCCCAGAAACGGCTGAAGGCCCGGGTCGTTTAGTTTAATGTTGGAATGGATGTTTTCACAAGTCTATGGGGCGTAACTGCACTATGCAAACATGCGCAGAAGTCCAAGAAAACCAATGATAAAATGTTATATATTTGTACTGAAATACTTTTTAAGTCGGTTGATGGAAGAGAACGAGTCTCTCTTTGATGAAATCCAATTATTCGAATGTAATGCTGCTTCTACACGGTTTTAAAACACTACCTGATATATATATACTTTGATCAAAGGTGGTCTAGTGTGTTTGTAATAACACGAGTCGTATTATCTAAGTCGTATACTGTTTGTATTTCAATTGGAATTTTGATTAACACTATATTAGTATTAGGCCTAATATAACTTAAAGTATTTGCATACTAATATATGCGAGCTGTTAAACATTACAAAATAATTTTGCATTATTTTCTATTCAACAGTATTAGACACTAGAAAGAATGGTTTGACTTGGCTTGAAATACTGTATTGAGTAAATCACGATTGCGCTTCCCCCGCTGTTGTATAGAAGCGGTGTATCTATATAATGTATCATAGGATATATGCATATATTATAACATCCGTTTATAAACCAAGTTCAGAATGCTTTTAATTCAAGTTCATGTGACATTTTCAAGTATGCAAACTAATGACAAAAATCAGCTGTACAGATGTACCTCTGCATACTTTAAAATGTTATATGAACTTCAATTAATGTGTAATATATTAATGTATAAATGATGTATTTTGAAGTTATATAAACTCATGTGTTAACAGGTCCTCTAAGCAATATTTAAATTCATCTAAAAAATACATTTTCGGTGATACTTTTTTTTGTTTGTCTGGGTTTGTGTGCGCACAACAGGTTTAATATAAGGCATTCAGTTTTCAAGCATTTCAAGCATATGCATTAAAACGCAGGGTACCTCAAATTAAGGTATTTCGTTTTGAACGAGATCACCAAAACTCCGAGTGCTGATTTTGTTCAAATGAGCTAGACTGCGTTAAATGTGGTTTAAAACAATTAATGAAGTTCTTTGTGGGTGGCGCCTTCCCCATAGTCCCAGTTTCTACCCACTGATACATCGCAATGTCCATCCAGCCATCCATCTAACAACTGTTTATAATGACCATGGTCGTAGAAAGACACCCTAGACGGGATGAAACTAAAAGATTTAAAGGAACTGCATGTTTTTGGACTGGGAGGAAACATTAGTGCTCATAGCCTACAGTGGAAACACTGGGACAATATGCCAAAGAACACAAACGGAGCCGGGATTCGGACCCTTAACCTTTGGGGGTGGGAGAGAAGAGCACTAGCCCTACCCTATGAAACAAAAAATAATAATAATGACGTATCAAGAATGCATGCTACCTCAATACCATGTCAATGACTAATAAAATGTATCCAAAAAGAAAATTTTCGGTGATGCTTGTTTTATGGACGTAATAGAATCTACAATATATTGGACTGCATGAAGATTTTGCTCTTTGTTTTACGGACAATATGCGCCGTTCTCAGTACGGGCACATGCCTTTGGGAAAGACAGGAAGTTTGCTAATATGCCTCTTGGGGGTGCCGGACATGACGTAGATGCATGGAAATCTTACTGTGATAGTTAGATAAATGGATGTATTGAGTCCATTTTTAAATTCTTCTAACCAGTGGATCCATAGTTAAAAACCTGCCTGGCTGTCTATGTACTGCTGAACTTAAAGGGAATCTCGGAGATGGCATCCTGTACTTTGCGATGCTTTCATTCTTCATCATGCTTATCTGGAAGGAGCCTATTTGGCATTTTTTATTTTTATCGGCAGGATGCTGTGTCGGAACTTTGCATATTTTTTCCGTTAGGCCGAAGATGTTTTATCATAAATCATGTAGTTTTCGGTTCTGCTTAATATGTAAAATCATGCCGCATTCTAGGATTGTTTAATGATAGCGTAGAGATTCTTTATATTGGGTTACTTAAGCATATACATTTATCGGGAGTTGTAAAATAGCTAAGCTTATAAAGTGTCGAGTACATGTATCTAAGTATTTATTTAATGTTATTTGCCCGTAGGTGTGTTATATGTTTGCAGTATCCTGTCTCTAATTTTACACGGATCTGTAGAGGTATAACTCTTAATTTATAAGTCAATGCTGTTTGTCAGAGGCAGCCTAAGCAAAAAAAATTAACCAGCGCCCTTTTAAATCAGCTAATACTCTATCTATCCCGCGTGGCATCTTCTTGAACATGGATTTATCGTATGTTTGTTTTTAAAACAGTTTTAAGATTTATTACAACCATTACAATGCTTATGCAGCTCTACTGCTACTACTAGCGTTCTGTATAGGCTCGCTAACTAAATGTACTATGGTGATGACTTGTCTGTATACCAGACCGGTGCTCAGCAGTTGTGTGATTACGTGGGCGTTAGTGTAAGGAATTTTGTATGTGAATACCGGGAGAATTTAAGCAAATCCCATTCGGGGTATTCTGTTTTATTTATGTAGGCCTATTTTGTATTTGTAATGTTTTACACCCTTGGTCCGCTAAATGGGTGCACATTAAAGTTAGGGCGGGTGTACCGCTATTAGACCGCTGCACAGATTTCCTGTTGGGACGTTATTTCTACCTCCTTGTAATCGATGCAGACAAGTTGCATGAGATACACCTCGGGAGGTGTAGGGCGGCTCTCGGGAATATCCAGATGATCCCTTATCCCGAGGAGCAATTTGTATTTAAGTCTTCTTAGTTTCGTGGCCCATACATTTGACGGGAGCTCATTTGCTAGGGAAACTTCACTGAGTCTGGACGTGAGAGGGTACATTGTTGTTGATTTGTCATGAAAACCGCGTGCTCCGCTTAACAGGTCACTGCTGCCAGCCGCACATTTGTAGCACATCTTGTTCCCTCGTATTCGGCGGTAGTTGGGTTAGACTCCCTTGTCTTACTGGTAGTTTTAGTTAGGGGACATTGTTTTTTTACGAATGACACATTACACTACGTATTCTAACAACACACGTTCTTACCAAGATATTTGCATAAATAAATAGAATACTTACTCTGACAGAGGAATACAACAATTTACTTGTCCCGATTCTAATTAAATTATATTCTTACCATGATAAAAGTGTTTGATCGATACTCGTAACTTTAGTCAGAATAGTGATAGAGCATTTTAGTAGTAGGCCTGTATATGCAGTAGGCCTATATACAGACACAAAGATGTATGCCCCCGTGTTTCAGATATTAAACAAACCGGTCTCAGTCGTTCGTGCCGTACACATTTCCGTACCGGTCTCAGTCGTTCGTGCCGTACACATTTTCGTTTGTGCTGCGTGTCTGAGGGACATGATGTTTGTGAAATAACAGGGAAAAGTTTAAAGTCAACTAGAGGTCAAAAGCATGATAGTCTTGAAACCTTGGCTGGCAAAATAACAAACCAAACTGGCCTCAGTCGTTTGTGCTGCTTTAGTTTTTGAGGTATATATGCTTGTTTACATGGTCACATGACACCACCGTGAAGTTCTATTAATTAATATTTTAAAATGCTTACATTTAGATCGAT